TCGAGACCTGCCTGAGCAACACAGTGAGATCTCGTCTCTACAAAAAAATTTTTAAAAATTAGTTGGGTGTGGTAGTGCATGCTAGTACTGGAATTTCTACCCAGAGCAATTAGGCAAGAGAAACAAAAGCTATCTGAATTGGAAAGGAAGTATCTTTCTATATAGATAACATAATCTTATATGTAGAAAATCCTAAAGAATCCACAAAAAACTATTAGAGTCAATAAATAAATTCAGAAAACCTGCATAATAAAAAAAGTTGTATTTCTGTTTATTATCAATGAACAGTCAAAAATGATATTAAGAAAACAGTTCCATTTACACAGCATCAAAAAGAATAAAATATTTGGGAATAAACTTAGCTAAGGAGGGGAAGACTTACACACTGAAAACTATAAAACATCGCTGAAGAAAAATTAAAAGACCCAAATAAATGGAAAGACATCCTGTGTTAAAAAATTTAATATTGTTAAGATAACAATACCACCGAAAGCAATATACAGATTCAATGCCATCCCTATCAAAATCTCAATGGCATTTTTTACAGAAATGGAACAATACATCCTAAAAACCATATGAAATTTCAAAGCCAAAACAATCTTGAAAAAGAAGAAAAACGTAGGACTCACTTCCCAAATCTGAAACTTACTCCAAAGCTACAATAATGAAACAGTATCGTATGGCATAAGAATAGACATACTCTTTTTTTATTTTTATTTATTTATTTTTGAGACAGTCTCTCACTCTGTTGCTTGGGCTGGAGTGCCGTGGCGTCAGCCTAGCTCACAGCAACCCCAAACTCCTGGGCTCAAGCCATCCTCCTGCCTCAGCCTCCAGAGTAGCCGGGACTACAGGCACACGCCACCATGCCTGGCTAATTTTTTCTATATATTTTTAGTTGTCCAGCTAATTTCTTTCTATTTTTAGTAGAGATGGGGTCTCACTCTTGCTCAGGCTGGTTTCGAACTCCTGAGCTCAAACGATCCTCCCACCTCAGCCCCCCAGACTGCTAGGATTACAGCCGTTAGCTACCCCGCCTGGCCAGAATGGACATATTCTTGAACAGAATTGAGAGCCCAGGAATAAACACTTTGAATGTGGTCAATTGATATATGACAAGGGTGCCAAGATCAACTTTTGGGGGAAAGAACAGTTTCTTTAACAAATAGGGCTGAAAAAACTGAGTATCAACAAGCAAAAGAATTAATCTGAACTTTTACCTTATATCATATACAAAAAATTTAACTTGAAATGGATCAAAGTTCTTAATTTAAGAGCTATAACTATAAAAATCTTAAAAAAATAGAAAATCATTATGAATTTGGATCTGGTGTTTTAAATATGATTTTAAAAAGTACTCTATAGACAACAAAAAAAACCGGGCTTCATTAAAAACTTTTGTGCATGAAAGAATACTTTCAAGAATTTAAATTATATACCTGATAAGGGATTAATACCCAAATATATAAAGAACTCCTACAACTCAGTAACAAAAATAACCCAATGAAAAAATGTATGAAGTACCTGGATATTTCTTTGCTTAATTATATATTTAAAAATGGTAAAGACTGCAAATTTTGTTATTTTTATATATACTTTACCACAATTAAAAAAATTACTTCTGACACAAGTTATTAATTTCCATTAAGTTAAATAATCACATTTTGAAAGACATTATTTAGCACTTGAAATTACATGCTAACTTAAAATGTTTAAAGATAATCAACAGTGGGAGTCATGTCAGCAAGATGGCCGAACAGCTCCCCTAACATCCCTCCCGACAAAAATACGACTAGAAACTTAAAAAACCAGAATACCACCCTGATTACACCAAAAGTAGGGAGAGAAGGAGAAACACCTCAGAATCAGGAGAAGCCATGACTGGTAAGAGAAATGGCCATTTCAGACTCTACAGCTATCATAATGCTACTCACAGAGAAGTTCCCTAGACCCGTGATTTCCAAAGTGAGAGGAGGGGAATCACAGGTACACATTTGATCTCCCCACTGATCTGAGAATCTTCAAGGCAAACACACTCCAGTCCCATCCCACGGAAACCATTTGGACTGCCAAGTGGGCAGAACCACCTAGGATGAACTGGGGACAAAGAGTAAGGCACTGCTGGAGCTTAGATCCTGGGGGCTACTCAGTATGCCAACCAGCAGGGATACCATGCTAAAACTACTATGAAAAACGGTATGAAGATTCCTCAAAAAACTAAAACTAGAACTACCATATAATAGAGCAATCCCACTACTGGGTATATATCCAAAGGGAAATCAGTACATCAGAGAGTTATCTGCATTTCCATGTTTATCACAGCACTATTCACAATAGCCAAGATCTGGAATCAACCTAAGTGCCCATCAATGGATGAATGGATTAAGAAAATGTGGCACATAAACTGGGCATGGTGGCTCATGCCTGTAATCCTAGCACTCTGGGAGGATCGCTTACCAGGAGTTTAAGGTTGCTGTGAGCTACGCTGATGCCACGGCACTCTAGCCTGGCAACAGAGTGAGACTCTGTTTCAAAAAGAAAAAAATAAAATGTGGCATATATATACAATGGAAAATTATTCAGCCACACAAAAAAATGAAATCCTGTCATTTTCAGTAACATGGATAGAACTGGAAGTCATTATGTTCAGTAAAATAAGCCAAGCACAGAAAGACAAGTATCACACAGTCTCACTCATATGTGGGAGCTAAAAAAGTGGATCTCATAGAGGTAGAGAATAGAATGGTGGTTACCAGAGGCTGAGAAGGGTTGGGAAAACGGGGATAGAGAAGTTGGTTAATGGGTACAAAAATAATAGTTAGATAGAAGAAAAAAATTCTGCTGTTTGATAGCACAGTAGGGTGACTATAGTTAATAATAATTTATTGTATCTTTCAAAATAGCCTGAAGAAAAGATTTGGAATGTTCCTAATACAAAGAAATAATAAATGTTTCAGGCGATAGATATCCTAATTATCCTGATTTGATCATTACATATTGTATGCATATATTAAGATATCACATGTTCCCTATAAATGTGTATTATTATACATCAATGAAAAATTTTTTTAAAAAGATACTCAGGCTGGGCATGATGGCGCACGCCTGTAATCCTAGCATTGGGGGAGGCCAAGGTGGGAGGATCACTTGAGGCCAGGAGTTTGAGACTAGTCTGAGCAAGAACAAGATCCCATCTCTACAAAAATTGAAAAATTAGCCAGGCATGGTGGCCCATGCCTGTAGTCCCAGCCACTTGGGAGGCTGAGGTGGGAAGATTGCTTGAACCCAGGAGTTCGGGGCTGCAGTGAGCTATGATGACACCACTGCACTCTAGCCCATGCAACCCCATGAGACACTGTTGCAGGGGAAAAACAACAACAACAACAAAAAACAACAACAAAAAACAAAGAACAAAAAATATGTGCCACTTATTTCAGGTACTTCAATATTCTTCCTACATCATAGCTACCTCTCGTAAGTCTAATCCTTCTTTTACATGAATGTCTTGCAATTTAAATACAACTCGAAGGTCCTCTAATACAGACTTTGTATTCTATGTAAGTACATACATCACTGTTTCATTTTATAAAAGTATTTTTTGGGAAATCCCTTAATAAAAATCATTCTTTAAGCAAGAAATAGAATTTGCAAATAGAATACAAATATAGGCCAGACATGGTAGTAGCTCACGCTTTTAGAGGCCAAGGCCAGAGGACTGCTTGAAGCTATGAGTTTGAGACCAACCTAAGCAACAGAGTATGACCGTGTCTCTATCTAAAAAAATTTAAGGCTGGGCACGATGGCTCATGACTGTAATCCTAGCAATCTGGGAGGCTGAGGCAGGAAGATTGCTTGAGCTTAGGAGTTGGAGACCAGCCTGGGCAAGAGCGAGACCCCGTATCTATCAAAAATAGAAAAAATTAGCTGGTCATGGGGGCATGCGCCTGTAGTCCCAGCTGCTTGGGAGGCTAAGGCAGGCAGATCGCTTGCCCAGGAGTTTGAGGTTGCTGTGAGCTAGGCTGACGTCATGGCACTGTAGCCTGGGCAACAGAGCAAGATTCTGTCTTAAAAGAAGGGGGAAAAAAAAGAGAGAGAAGTAAAGTTTTTATTTACCTAGCTGCGACTAGAAACTATGCCTTTTGAAACCTAACTATGTGGCTTCTTCATGTCTTCCAACTGTTAAGATTTTGATACCATTTTAGTGAGTGAAGCTATAGGAGGCAGAGATAAATGTTGATTTAAATCTCAAATAAGAAAAGGAATAAGACTTAATGCCTCACATAAAAATTTTTAACACTTTAAATACAAGCTGAAAGTACCAATTTACAAGTGCAAAGCAAAAACAAGGAAAGAAAAATTTAAAATTTCTTAGAGGTCATTTGTAGACAATCCTTTGCCTCTGTCACTCTTTGACCCTGTATCATATACAAAATTCTCTTTTACATAAATAACACATCTTAATCAAATGTTTTATAATTGTTTATTTGCCTGTCTTTCCACTAGAGAAAAATATCTCTGACTAGTGTAACAAATCTAATTTTGTATTACTATAGTTCTGCCATATAATAATTTCACGTATGGGCCCAGATTTTTAAGGTATTTGTCTTTTGAGGTTGCAAATAAAGTTTACTTTTAAGGAGAGACATTTTTATTACATGTCTTTGTTAATTATCAAACTGAAGTAAATGAAGCCCATCTTAATATAAACAGTAAAAATCATATAGTATAAAAACTAAAATAGCCAAACTAACCTACTTCAAAGACTTAAGACATCTAACTAACAGCAAACAAACAGGAAACAAACAAAACAACCAAAAAGAACTTGTTAGGTGGGAACAATTTTGAAAGCTGAAACTTAACAGTTTATAATAAATGACCAAAAGCATAAAAAGGTTTTCATTCTAATGGGAATAACAGGAAAAAAATTCAGCTTTTGTAAAAAAAAAAAAAAAAAAAAGTAAAAATAATTTTTCAAATTGTTGAAAAACAACATAACTTACTCTTTGATATCACGAAGCTGATCAACATCTTGTGATCTTGTAAAATCTGGATCATGCGCTAGCAGGTGAATCATGTATGGAACTACATATTCAGGCAACAGTGATAATAATTTCTCTAAAGTGAAAACATCATTGTTAACAACAACAATAATAATAGCTTTTATAAAATCCTTCCTGAGTTTGAGTTCTAACCACTCACATTTCCATTTTTTTCCTCAGTTATTTCTAAGTTAGAGGCAACATGGTATCTAAATATTGAATTTTTTTCAATTTTGAAAGAATTTAAAGCCGAAGGATATACCTAGTGGGTCCCTGGCAAACCTAGGAAAAAATTATTTACTCCGACATCTGAACAATTTGTTCAAATCAAAGCACACTGCTGATCCCATAAGAAAAATGCAGGTACTCAAAACAGTTTTATATAGTATAAATAGGACTCAGGATTTCAGTTTTTAAATATACCATAACTGCAATGACAGTATTCCATAAAACTCCCAGTTTTATCATAAACTATAATAGAAATATATGAAAAAAACCCCACAAATTGATACATTCACAAGATAAATTTGCTCAATAGGAACTTTCAAAGTTACTTACCAGTAGCCATCGGATTCTGTTTAATGTACTCTCTGCGTATACTGATATTTTTTAGCAAACACTGTCGTGCATGTGCTCTTCTCTCTTTCACAGGATCTTTGGCACACAAGGCAAAGATCGCCATATACTCCAATGGGAGTAGTAACTTCACAAGTGCCTTATGCAGCTTCTGAGCAAATATCTGCCTTACTTGGTAGCATTCATCCTATACCAACACAAAAATAAAAATACTTAAATTGGCTAACATTTAGTAAAAATAAGCAGTTGAAGCATTTTTATGTCTTCTTCATCCAAAAAAATGATAATTATATGGGGCAAATATATAATTTAATATATGGGAAATAGTTAAAAAGGTACTAATAACCATCCCTTTTGTGCCATATATCCACACAGTAAATGGACCTGTATCCATAGAAATTAAATGTATTTAACTTTGAAGACAAGTAATTGATAAAAACGAGATTGTTACTTACATTAATGACAAGTGCACAGAGCTGAAACTGTTCTGGGGTAATAATTTCATGGTAACAAGGTTCCTGAGCAAGCTTCATTATGGCACTACCAGCAGCTAATCGCAAGCGAGACATATCAGATTTACTATAAACAAACAAAAAAGAAATAAACATTTCCTATAACCATTATCATTCATTAAAATGCTTTGATCCCTTTTTGAATGTAAGGTCCTTAGAGGATAATTTATACTTAAAATGACATGATATATAAAAATGGGAAAGCTACCTTAAGTCCATGAACTCAACACAGGGTAAAAGGCTCAAATCATTGTGATTTTCTTTTTTTTTTGAGACAGAGTCTCACTCTTTTGCCCGGGCTAGAGTGAGTGCCGTGGCGTCATCCTAGCTCACAGCAACCTCAAACTCCTGGGCTC